TTCTTAGGAATGTCTAAATTCAGTTAAACTAGCAATTCCGTATTATATTTATAAATCTTTATAACATTATACAAAAATTAGATTTTTCTTAAAAATTGAAATTTTGCCGGGAATGGGGCTTTAAAAATACATACTACGTAACTCTGTTATACTATATCAATACTGTATCATAAAAGCTGTAAAATTAAAAACTGTAATTTAGCATCTAAGGATGATCTATATCTCACAACAAGAAAAAATGAATCCATCAAGAAACTAAAATACAAGGAATAACTTAAAAAATGAAATGAAGTAACAGTATACACCAAAGGTGGCTAGACTGACAATGAATTTTATTTGGTATTGAATCAGTCAGTCAATCAATCAATCAATCAATTAATCAATCACTTCACTAATAATTTTGCGGTTTCTATTTAGATCATTAAATATAGGTATATGTATATTACTTGCATGAATAAATAAAATAAATATAAATTTTCAATAAACACTTTGGCTAATCACCAGCTAACGGTTAGCAGGATCCAGATTATAACATACACATGTACAGTTGTGTTCATACAAGAAAATCCCCAATCCAGATATCAAGAAGATGAGGGTGGGATCACTGGGAAATTGGATATGATGACTTATTGGTTTGTAAACCGATAGCACTCGCTAACTATATGCACTTCCTGATGGTTAGTGCTAACTGATCGGATGTTCTCACATACCTGGTAATCTGGATATTAAGGCTCAAATGTGAATCTAAACTTTAGAGGGAGATGAAGAAAAGATGATGTGTTTACTGATTCTTTGTTTTTCACTTCAGCCTGACATGAACCCTGGCAACTGTTGGGCATTGGTAGGGACTCAGGGTTATGTTGTGATACAGTTATCAAACTTTGTCAAGATCACTTCCTTCTCAATGGAACATATCCCAAAATCCCTTTCTCCTACTGGCAACATTGACAGTGCTCCCAACAACTTCTCTGTTGTGGTAAGTACTTTCGTTTTTATTTTTTTTTTTATTCTTTAACATCTAATAACATTCACACTCACAAATGAACCTTTCTACTATGCCTCACCTCTGGAATATTGTTGCTACGGTCCCAGAAATCAACAGTGTAAAAGTATGTACACAGGTGCCTTTGTGCATGGAGGTATTATGGTAAGATAATTGAGAGCTTTTGATTTGCACGACGACGCGACACTAGAATGGATTCACTCGTGCGTGACCATCCTACATTCTGCTCAAAGCAGATTTGGCCAAATTACGTCCTAGGAACCATGCGACCACAAAAATTCAACTTCTTCACATGCACAGACTTTAGGTGACGTCATTAAGATATGCAATCAAAAGTTCCCATGATTTGTGTGACAGCACGTTTTTGTAGGACACACACATTCCTAGCCTTGTTCTGATTGGTCGGTACTTAAGTTTGATTAGGTCAGTTATTGGTCAGTTGTGTGTGACAATATTATTAAGTCATACCCCTTGGATATTGTTGCTAAGGCCTCAAGGTAAAAGTGTGTAACATGCATTTGTGGGACAGCCTAAGTTTTTTGGGACATGCACATATTACTAGCCTTGTTCTGAATAGTGAGTACTTCAGTTTGATTGACACTCTGAAAAGGTCCATAATAGAACAAAACAAATTGGTCACTTAGAACTACTGTATGTCCAGATTAGTCACTATCAGTTGTGTTTGATAAAAATATGAACCTGAATTTAACATTGGATTGATTTTTTTCTTTGAATAATTGTTACCAACTGGACTGTCTATGGATTTATAGTTTATCTTAACACATTCACTGGACTACAGTAGTCCTATTAACTATTATTCTAGATTGGTAACTTCTTATTGAATACTTTTATTCTAGGGGCTGGCCCATGAATATGATTCTGAAGGAACTGAACTTGGAAGATATAATTATGACCAGAATGGAAGTCCAATCCAATTCTTTGTTGTTCAAGTAAGCAGTTCTTTCTATTCCTCATTATATTACAACTCTCTGCTGTGATGCTCTACAAATTAGAGTATATGCATTCTTTTTGAACATTACCCAGTACCGCTTGTATATTTTATTCGTGTGAAATTTTTAACTTATGTATTTGTCAGTGTAGACAGAGCTTTTATATACACTTAGATTTATGGCAGCATGTTGATATGGGTTCAGACCTTGATGTGAGGGTTGTTAGTATT